ATGGATCGGTATAAAACCCAGTTTAAATTATTTGACAGTTTGGGGGTGTCCTGTAGAAATTAGGATTTACAATCCTTACGAGAAAAGGCTTTAGATCAACACCTAGATTTTTTATCGATCACCCAATAGCTTCTAAAGACTATAGGTTCTACTACCCAAGTAATAGCACAAGAATTGTGGAATCTATGATAGCAAAATTTCTAGAGGAAGATGTTGGGAATTGTGATTGTTCACATGAGAAGGCTAGTCTTGAAAAATCTCCAACAATTATTCAATTGCTTATTATAGATGAGGAGGTGGTACAAATGTCAAGGAGTAGAAACCAACAAGATAAGACAAAGCAACCTATATCTCTTGAAAAATTACAACATATTCAACTAGATGCTATAGTTCCCACTAGGAGATCTCAAAGAAAAAAGAGGCCTGCAACATTAGATGATTTTGTAGTCTATTTAGAAGAAGTATATTATGATATAGGGATAGTTGTAGATCTAGTAATTTTTTTTGAAGCTATTAGTAGTCCACAGTCAAATAAAGGGCAATTTACCATGAAAGAGGAAATGTCATCTATGTATGGTAATGAAGTTTGGGAATTGGTGGAAATTCTTAATGGTTATAAACCCACTGGTTGTAAACAAGTTTATAAAACCAAAGAGGATACAAAAGGAAAGATTGAAAGGTTCAACACCAGACTAGTTGCAAAAGGGTACACACAAAAGGAAGAAATAGACCATAGAGAAACTTTTTCTCTAGTCTTTTCTAAAGATTCCTTTAGAATTATAATGGCTTTAATAGTACAATTTGATCTTGAGCTTCATCAGATGGATCTTTAGAATGCTTTTCTGAATGGAGACTCGTTAGAAGAGGTGTGCAAAATGTAGCCCAAAGGTTTTGAGGTAGAAGGAAAGGAACACATGGTGTATAAATTGAAGTCTATTTATGATTTAAAATAAGTCTCTATACAATGGTATCTAAAGTTTCATGAGGTAGTCACATCCCTAGGTTTTGTGGTGAATACTATTGACAATTGCATATATCTCAAGGTTAAAAAGAGTAGATATATTTTCTTAGTATTATATGTGGATGATATTTTACTTACTAGTAGTGATATGGAATTATCATTAACTATCAAAAGGATGCTTTCTAAAACCTTTGACATGAAAGATCTAGGAGAGGCTACTTATATTCTTGGAGTGGAAATCCATAGGGATAGATCTAAGAAGAAGTTAAGACTTTCACCAAGAGCCTACTTTAATAGATTTGGTTTGCATTATCATAGGCCTATTGTGGCTCCAATGGATAAAGGGGACAACTTGAGTAACAAACAATGTCCTAAAAATAATATTATGCAGGAGCAAATGAAAGGAGTTCCTTATAGTGTGCTGTTAGGAGTTTGATGTATCACAAGTGTGTACCAGATTAGATATGGCTTTTACAACTAGTATACTTGGTAGGTATTTGTCTAATCCTGATTATGACCATTGGATTGCTACAAAGAAGGCCTTGAGATATTTGTGTAAAATAAGAGATCACATGCTTGTTTATAGAACAGTTGAGTACTTAGAAGTAATAGGATTTGCGAATGTTGATGTAGCTGGATGTACAACAAATGATAGGAAATCCACTATTAGTTATATATTTATGCTTGTAGGTGGCGCTATCTCTTGGAAAAGTTCTAAGCAATCTATTCTAGCAATTTCTACTATGGAAGCTGAGGTTATAGCCTATTTTGAAGTTGGAGGCCATGCCATGTGGTTGAGGAATTTTATTACAAAATTGAAGGTGATTGATTCCATTTCTCTAAACCACTTAGAATTTACTGTGATAACTCTTCTGTAGTATCATTTGCCAAAAGCACAAAGAATACTAGTGGCACAAAGTTCACAGTTAAAGTACTTCAAAATCAGACTATGGGTTGATAATGGTTATATTGAGTATGAGCATATTGGTATGGATGATATGCTTGCTAGCCCACTAACCAAAGGACTTAGACCCATTGACTTTGATTGACTTTGAAAGACATGTGAAAAATATCGGGTTATCATTCTCTTTTGATATATTAGGTTAGTGGGAGTTAAGTTAATGATTATGAGGATAGTATGACTTTTTCAATATCTACATTAATAACGTTCATATCACCATGTTTTATTTTCTATTATGTGTCTTTTTTTTTTTTCTTTTTCTTTTTTTTTGAATAGGTAAGGTGGGAGATGGGAAATTTTTAGCATAGCAATGCCATGACTCAAATTTTAGTTATTGTTAAGGCATTGTGTGCATCTAGCAACTGGTCTATAAAGTTTGGTGCATTATGTGCTATTATTTTAATGCACATGTTTGCTATGAGAACATATAGATATATATGTTTCAAATATAAAGATTAAAAGGCTCCTTTTAAAGTGACTTATTTGAAAGTATTGGGAGTTTTACTCTTGAGTTTTTTTTAAACTGATATAAATTTAAAGTTTTCACTTGAGGAACTATAAAAAGGATTTCTTTGAATTCATAAAAAGAACTATTATGGTTTTGATATATTATATATTATAATGATCATGTTGTGTCAAATGACTCTACACTTTATCACAACTATTTGAATTCATGTTAATAGAGATATTTGATATTTTGTGATTGTGAGCAATCTTGCATTGAAAAGGAAAGCAATGATCACTACAGTTCAGTATTGGTATTTGGTTAAATGCCTTTTTTGGTCCCTCAACTATTGTACAAACCCCCAATTTGGTCTTTGAACTGAAAAAATCCCTGAGTTGGTCCCTATTATTTACCAATTTGACCCCAATTTGGTCCTTCTATTAAAAATCATGAGATGTGTCCTATTAATTCACGGCAATATGATGACATGTCAATGTATTAAACACATGTGGAAAGATAACATGGTTGACATGGACCAAAATAATGACATGGCAAAAAAATATTGATATGGCAAAAAAATATTGATGTGACAAAAAAATAATCTTAAATTTTTTTTTCCTTCTCTTTTCCTTTCTCCTTCCCCTTGGGGTCTTTGGGCACTTTTGAACCCAATGTTCGAACCTTACACGCCTGGGTTCCAAGCATTCGAAACCAACACACTTGGGTTCTAGCCTAGAACCCAACGGCCACTACGTTCGAACGTGTGGGTTCCAATGACTGGAACCCAGTGACCATTGGGTTCCTAAACACATTGGTTCCAATGGCTGGAACCCAACAGTCGTTGGGTTCGAACCCAGCACGACTAGGTTCCAATAGCTGGAACCCACGTGTTCAAACCCAACAATCGCTGCGTTCAAACGCGTGGACGCATGGGTTCCAACCACTAAAACCCAGCGGCCACTAGGTTTGAACCCAGCACGCCTGGGTTCCAGCAATTGGAACCCAACGGCCACTAGGTTCGAACCCAACAAATTTTTTTTTTTGTGCAAAAAATCAAAAAGATTTTCTATTTTTGTGAGTTTTGTTATTTGACGATGATGATGAATAATTGATTGATAAAGAATGATGATGAAAGTGGACTTGGAGGAGGTAAAGAGAATGGAAGAAGAAGATTTGAGAAAGAGAAGGCTGGAGGAAAAAGATGAGGGAAAAATTGTAATTTTAGTGGGTCTCACTTTTTTTTTTTTTTTTTTTTGAGGGCCATGGCAACAATATAACCTGACATATCGAAAAGTAATCATTTTTTCTATTTGAACATCTTATGTGTCTCAAATTTTTGACATGCCATTAAGTCCTATGAGTTAACAGTGGATTTTTAACGGAAAGACCCAATTAGGGTCAATGGTAAACAGTAGAGACTTAATCAAGGATTTTTTCGGTTCAGGAATCAAATCGGGGATCCGTAAAATAGTTGAGAGACCAAAAAAGGGGTTTAACCTTGGTATTTTTATTGAATGGAATTCTGTATTAAAATTTTGATTTATATTTGTGACCATTAGAGTTGTATTTGACCCAAGAGTTGTTTTTAAATATGTTTTTCAAATTTTTAGAGCCAATTAGCATTGTCTAAGTGGGAGAATGTTAGAAATTTTTATGTGGACATATGTTAATTGTATTTAGTTTTTAAAATGGGTTAAATGAAAAATCGATAAAATCTAATAAAGTTATATGATCTAAGTGAGTTTAAATTTTATTTTAGTTTAATATGGTGTAATATAAATAAGTATAGGAAAATGATTTGTAAACTCTCGGTTCAATTCATTTTTTGACACACTTTCGGTTCAATTATTAAAAATATAATACAAATATAATCAATTTATCCGATTCCTACATCTAGTGTGCATGATTGTATTTTTAAACTTGATTGCCTTTAATTTTAAAGTAAAAAAAAAAAGTGATTTTTTAATTAATATGTTATATAGTGTGTTAAACTAGAGTATGTATCAAGTATTGTCCATAAATATATGGTCTAAAATTAAAAGGTAAGTCGCTTAATAAAAGTGCCCAAAATATTACTATAATATGTTAGCCCCCTTTTTCTATTCAAAAGACCTATTTCTATAAATAATAAAATTAGGGAGTTATATAATCTATTATCATCATTATACAAAAGTTGAATAAAAAAAAAAAAAAGGGAAGATTTAGCGTTTAACTACTTTATTGATTTGTTCTTTTGCAGATTCTTAGATAAATGGCTTCCAATAATGGTACATAATGGTACGCAACTTTATTATTTAATTATTAAAATCTAGTGTTCTAGAATATCTAATTTGTGCTTTATTTTATCTATCAAATTTAACATTTTTTCTTAATTTTCTTAATTTTTCAGAGATTTGACTAATAATTTTTAAGAGATGAGCACTATTATTTTATATATATATATGAAAAAAAATATTTTATAATCTGAATTTGATTGAATTGTGAAATAAAATATCCATTTATATTTTTTTTGCTTTTAAGTAGGTTTTTTACCATCAACATATAATATAAAAAAAAAAGGAAAATGTATAAACAAATGAAAAAACAGGGGAAAGGAAAAACGAAGGGCGAATTGGGAGGAAGTTAATGCATACCAAGGAACAGCAAGAACGCTTGAATCACCACGCCTATTTCAAACATTTTCACTGTAGATAGTAAAAAAATTTCCATTACCGCGAATGCCAATTGTAATTGTTGGATACTTATATATGAATGCAATAACTATTTACATATTATATTATGTATTAAAATTTATTTACACACAATATTTACACATATTATTTATATAAAAATTTAATTATTTATCTTCTTATTATATATAGTTAAGATTTATTTACTTTTTATCTTATTTTTTAAAATTGATTATATTTTTTATCCAAAAAATTATAATAAATCTCAACTATTCATAATGAAAAAAATAAAAAGTTAAGATTTTGAAAAATAATTGATGTACCCTCTAGTTTAACACATCCCACAACACCCATTACTTCAGTCATTAAATCTTATAAATTTTAGTTTTCTTGTGTTAATATAAATTTTAAAAAATAATTTTTTAATTAGTGTGTTACAAGATGTGTTTAAGCAAAAGGTACACTAATTATTATTTTAAGATTTAAAATTTTATATAAATATACTATGTGTAAAAATCATATATTATATTAATCAAGAAAGAATATTACAAGAACAAATCCTTTCTTCTAACTGCAATATTATTCAGGAAAGAAAACCTTTCTTCACAAAATTCTCTCTTCTTGTCTATTCTAACAGCAATGAAAGAATATATTCAAAATTTAGAAAGAATAAGTTTAAATGGAAAAAATGGCAAAATTCATAATAGAAAAAAATAAAAGTTTAGCATTAATTAAAATTTTTTAAAATTTTATATCTTAATTAAATAGAAAAAATGACAACCTTTATATCTTCATTTGAACCTTTTCTCGATAAACATTTTCCACGTATGTCCAAATATTAATGTTTGTTAGCTGGATCTCCTAAAAAAGTTAGGAGAAAAAATATTTCAAAACAATGTTGCCTCATTAAAATACCATGAGGAAAGACCAAAATAAACTCATTTTTTTATTTCAAAATAGGTTAGTTTAGTTTTTTTTTTCAATGAGATCTTATTGAAACAACCTTTAGTTTTTTTCTATGAAATCTTATTAAAACAACGTTGTTTTGGGGCCTCTTTCCTCTTAATTTTTTCGAGATCCAATTAACAAACATTATATATATATGAAAAAAGATCTATTTACGTATAAGTCTTAAACAAAACATTTATACAAAATCTCAACTATTCATTTCCTTACTTTTAATAGTTGAGATTAATCACAACTTTTTAGATGAAAAAGATAAAAACTTTAATATATGTGAATAAGTTTCAACTAATAGAAATGGAGAGATAAATGGTTAAAATTCTGTATAAATATGATATGTAAAATTTAGTGTGTAAGTAGATCTCTACTATATATATTTCTTTCTCTCTCTATACATCTATATATATATAGATATGTATTTATATATAAAGAGAGAGAAAGAGAGTTAGCAACAAGTTACATAATCTTAATTATTTATCTCTCAACTATAAATTGTTAAGATTCATCATGACTTTTTAGATGTAAAAGTAATTATTTTTAAAAAATGTGATAAAAAGTTAACAAATCTCAATCATTTATAGTAAAGAGATGAAATGTCAAGATTTTATCTAATTGATGTACATAAGTCATGTATATAAAGTTGATCTTATATATATAAATAGGGATCCACTTACACATCAAGTCTTACACATTACTCTTATACAAAATCTCAACCATTCATCTCTCTACTTTTAATTATTGAAATTTATTCACATATATTCACACACACACACATACATATATATATATAGAAGGGATACATTTACACACTGCTTTTACACATTACACTTATACAAAATCTCAACCTTTTATTTTTCCACTTTCAATGGTTAAGATTTATTTACATTTATTAAAAATAAGGACAATGATATATACACTCTACAAAGTTATACACTCCATTACACACTGATGGTTTCCATTACTTGATTTGTTACACACTGACGGTTCACCCAAAAATGAGCTACTATTCTAGGCACAAGTAACAGAAACCGTCAATGTGTAACAGAGTGTATAACTTGCAAGGTGTATGTACCATTTCCCTAAAAATAATTATCTTTTTTATTTTAAAAATCGTAATAAATCTCAATCATTAAAAGTAGAAGTAAAGAGATAAATGATTGAAATTTTATATAAATGCAATGTGTAAATAACTCACTACTCGTATATATGAGTCGTGAGCTACTTACACTCAAGTTTTAATATTTACAAAAAATCTTGACCATTTATCTCTCTATTTTCCATGGTTAAAATTTGTTCATTTTTTTATCATATTTATTAAAAATAATTATTTTTATCTAAAAATCTAATAAATTTCAACAATTAAAAGTAAAAAGATTAATGATCAAAATTTTGTGTAAATATTGTATGTAAAATTTGGGCAAAAACCTACTTTTAACTCTTTAGCTTAATAAGTTTTATAAGTTTTAGCCCCTCACCTTGTATTATGACACTTTTACCCCTCACCTGTACGAATTGAAGAAAATAACCCTAAATTAATGTTAGGTTATAACGTTTTGTTAGTTCTAGTAGCTGATTGTTAATTCTATTAGCTGACTGTTAACTCTGTTAGTTGACTGTTAACTTTGTTACTTGATTGTTAGCATTCCATTAACAGAACTAACAAATAAAATTGAATTTAGACTTTCATGTTTTTTATAACAGAATACTAACAGTCAGCTAACAGAACTAATAGTCAATTAATAAGACATTAAATAAGGATTATTTTCTTCAATTTGTATAGATGATGGACTAAAAGTGTCATAATATAAGATGATGGGCTAAAATTTGCAAATTTATTAAGGTAAAAGGCTAAAAGTAGATATTTATTATAAAATTTGTGTGTAAAAAAATTGCTAATATATATATATATATGCTAATTAAAAAAGAACATATATCTAGTTTATTTTCTGCAAATGGTAATGAAGTTAACAGCACGAAAGTTGTAAGGACATGAGTAGAGCCTTTCTACTTCCGTTTTATTAAATTTTAATTCATAAAAATAAAAATACAGCACGAAAATGAAGGAAAAAGAAAAAGATCACTAGTGAGTTGACATTCTTGCTTACCAAGCAACCAACAAGGTAAAAAACATAGCAGTCCAATCATCACGCCTGCTAGATGAGATTTGTATAGTGCCACTACAATCAATGAGTTATATTCAGAAATCAGCATTCTTAAAAAAAAAAAAAAAAACAAAATGAAGGAAAGAATTTTGCAACCGCAATAATCGATTTCTTTTATAATCTTTAGCCTTGCCAAAAAGAATATTAATATTGCCTCTAACTCATTAGCTATCCCCTAAGTTCTCCACTGTTAAAAGAATATATACATGAACGATGCCAAAAAGATTTGCCTGTAGCATTTTAACTCATGGTATAAGAAATAAAAAAAAGGTGGCGCGTCTTGAACGACGATGCCAATAAAAAAAATGAAAAAGAACTTAAAAATAAACTTAATTCAAATTATGCCATAAACAAAAGCAATAATTAACATACATGTCCATTTTCTTAGCTTATCTTGAACGATGCCATCGCCACCAGTTGGATCACTTCTTGGTTTGATGGAGGGTACCTTCGTAGCTTCACTTACAAATTACAATCAATATACATAGCAATGGATAGACTTGGTGATAATCAAATAATCACTTTTATAGAAAGTGGTAAAATAATTTAGAAAGACAAATGGTGGTCCATTCAAGAAAAAATTCTGGAAAAATAAAGAAGAAATCAAGGATAATTAATTAGGTTAATTATGAGACACTCTAAATTGTTCATATATATATATATATATATATAAAAACTGAATTGCATAATACATATTATTGGATGAGAGAAGAATTCCCAATACGACTCCTATTTTGTAATTTGAATTACAAAACAAGGAAACATTATATACATTTATAATCTATATGTGAATTTATAATTTTTTTTTCAAAATGTGCTAGACATTTGTATAATTACTAGAGTATAAAAAAGAGCACAGAAAACATTACGGTAATTTTTTGGCCTTTACCAAATTAATTCAAAACAGACTCTAATTCAC